TTACGACCGGTGTAGTCCTCGACTTACGACCGGTGTAGTCCTCGACTTACGACCAGTTGGGGTCACGGCATTAAAAAGGTTGAGAACCACTGCTTTATCTCAATTATTCTTAAGCTACAGGTAGTCCTCGCCTTACAATTGTTCATTTAGTGATCGTTCAAAGTTAAAATGGCACTGAAAAAAGTGAATTGTGACCATTTCTTGCATTTACGACCATTGCAATACCCCCAGTCACGTAATCAAAATTCGAATGTTTGGTAATTGACTCATATTTATGACGGTTGCAGCGTCCTGGGGTCACGTGATCCCGTTTGGCGACTTTCCGACAAGCAAAGTCAATGGGGAAGCCAGATTCACTTAACAACCGTGTGACTAACTGCAGTGATTCACTTAACAACTGTGGCAAAGACATTCATAAAATGGGGCAAAACTCATTTAACAACTGTCTCGCTGAGCGATGGAAATTTTGGACTCAGCTGTGGTCCTAAGTTGAGCACTCCCTGTAACGAATATTTCACCATCATCCCCCGATGCTACTGTTTGGACGGACAGGTGAGCCGAGTGTGAGAGAAGATGGGGGAGAAGATTGGCAGCCTTCCAACAGTTCCAAATAGATCATCCACTAACCTGGACCAGGCCAGGATTTTTCAGCAAAGGATCAAGCCGGGCATCCAAGAGTGCAGCTTTTTTTTTCTGATTCTGGAGGGGAAAAAAACCAAAATAAAGGAAATTGTCAATCAAATAATTTTTCTGTGAAAGGGGGTTGGACTAGATGACCTCAAGGGATCCTTCCAGGTATAAGCTTTAGTTTCTACATCAATCCAATTGCCATCTCCTTTATTTATTTTGTGGCACAATAAATATAAGGTATGTATGTTACCAACCCATTTATATCCATCCTCCCAAGTATAGATAATCCTTGACATACATCCGTTTAGTGACCGTTCAAAGTTACAACGGTACTGAAAAACCTGAATTATGACCACTTTTTTCACGTTCATGACCATTGCAGCCTCCCCGTGGTCACGTGATCAAAATTCAGATGCTTGGCAATGAAAGTCCCTTCATTTCAGCAGGTCGTGAGAACGCAGCACGGGGAAGGGACGCGTGTCTAGGACTTGCTTGGCTGCTCGCAAACGCGACTCTATAGCTGCCCCCGGAAGAAAGCCGCGTGATGGCTCCGCAGAAGCCCAGAGACGGCTTCTGCGGAGACGGGTTCCCGACGGGGCCCACTCACCTCTCGGGTGCTGCTGCCCCCCTTCAGACGACAAGCGGGCTGGGTCTGGGCTGGAACAGAAGCCGGCCCGGTTTAGACAGCACCCCAGTCTGCCAGAGGTACAAAACACCCGAGGTACGCCGGCTCGTTTTTTTTCGTACCGGAGCCGGTTAGGAGAGCCACGTGCACGCTCAAGGATGCACGTCTGAATGCAACAGGCCGTCCCTTTCTCCCGGGTCCGCCAGGCAGCGGGTACCCGCAACAGCTGCAGCCAATGCAACAGTTGCAAACGCCGCGGGTCCGGGCGCGCAATTGCGCGCACATCCAGGCCATGGAAACCCCAGGCTCTGGAGCCCAGCCAGGGCGGGCAGACCCCCCGGCGAGGAGGGGGCCAGCTTGGGACGCCCCCTCCGGAGAGAAAAGGGCCCGTCCCGCCACGGAAGAGCCGCCTCGGCTGCCTGCTGGGACCGCGCAAAACGCCGCGCAGGGAACGTTTCCAAACGGGTTTTTGCACCGCGGGAGTCCGAGGTGGGGGTGAATGTTTTTGGAGAGGAGGATTGGATTGCGCTCCGAAGCTTCCCTCCCTCCCTTCCTCTTTCCTCCCTCCCTTCCCTTTTTCTTTTTTTGTTCCTTCCTTCTTTTTGTCCCTTCTTTCTTTCTCTCTTTCTTTTCTTCCTTCCTTCCTTTCTATCCCTTCCTTCCTCTCTCCCTCCCTTTCCTTTTTGCCTGTCTTTTCTTTTTTTCCCCCCTTTTTCCCCCCTTCCTCCCTCCCTTTCCTTCCTTTTTCTCTTCCTCTCTCTCCCTCCCTCCCTCCCTCCCAATCCACTTTTCTTCTTCTCCCCGCCCCCCCCCCAAACCTCCATACTCACCCTGAAAGTTTGCAAAGTTTTGCCCTTATAAAGCCTGGGCTGCTTACATTCGCAAGCACCCTTGTGCTCTGGACGGAGGGAGGGGGAGGTTCACAAGATTGTGAGTGTTGCTTAAAGTTTTAAAGCAAAGTTGTACCGGGATTCCCAGCAACTAGAACTGGGAGAAACTTAATTTGCATCTATGCATGCATTTAATTAGGAAAATGCAACTTTATAATAGGTGGACAGTTGCCTTTTGTAAGCAAAAAAATATATATGTAGATTTAGGAATTGGCAGCTGAAGACACTTTGCTATGCAGGTAGTCCTCAACTTACAACTATTCGTTTAGTGACCTTTCGGTTACAACAACACTGAAAAAAGCCGCTTATGACCATTTTTCACATTTATGACTGTTGCAGCCTCTCCATGGTCATGTGATCAAGATTTGGAAGCTTGGAAACTGGCATGTACCTACGACGGTTGCACTGTCCTGGGGTCACGTGATTCCCTTTGGTGACCTTCCCAGCCGGCTTCCGACAAAGTCACGGGGGGGGGGGGAGCCAGATTCACTTAACCACTGTGTGTTTTACTTAACAACTGCAATGATTCGCCTAACGATTGCGGCAAAAGGGTCATAAAACGGGGAAAACTCACTTAATTGACTTGCTTAGCAACGGAAATTTTGAGGTCGGTGGCGGTCCTAATATGGTTGATAAATGAGTCACTGGCCAAATTTTGATCATGTGACCATAGGGATGCTGCAATGGTGGTGTGAAAAATGGGTCATAAATAACTTTTTTCAACAATGTTGTAACATCTAACGGTCATTAAAGTCGAGAAACACCTGCGTACCTGGTGGGGCTTCTCTGAACCCCTTTTCAAGTGGGGAGCTTCCCCAATCTGCTCACAGAACACCCCCCCCCCCGAGTTTTAATCAATTCAGAATATATATATCCTCTGAATTGGATGTATGGTTTCTGTTAACCACACAAATAAAAATAATTTTAAAAATGTTAAAAAATAATTTTTTTAAAAAACCAAAAAGTAATTTTAATTTAAAAAAAAAATCCAAAAAAATTACAAAATGTTTTTTAAAAAATTATTTTTTTTTCTAAATTTAAAAAATAAATTTTAAAAATTTAAAAATATTTTTTTGATTAAAAAAATAAAAATTTAAAAATATTTAAAAAAAAAAAAAAAAAGTGGATCATTTCAAGCATGCCAGCTGGGGATTTCAAGGAGTTGAAGTCCACCCACCTTTGAAGGTTGTGCAAGTTAAGTTGCGCAACCCTAATGTAAATTACGTTGTAAATTCTGGATAAATTACAATGCCTTAATTTTTATTAGCCCTTCCTTAAATCCCAGTGGGGCATTTTGAAGAAGATGGACAAGCCGTCCCGGATCTCTGTTTGTGTGTTTGTGGTATGTGTGTTTTCAGCTTGGCATCCCAAGAAAGAAGGCCAGATCACAGAATATTTGCCTGCTGGCAAGGAAAAGGCTGCCTCTCTTAATGACAGTGGAAACATTTCTTAAGGGCCCTGGTGCAGAATTCGGTTTAATGAGAATAGACAGCCTTTAAATTAAAAAAAAAAAACCCAAACCAAACATTGCAAGATTTTGTAGCTCTGAGATTATAATTCAGAAAATTGTAAGCAGTAGCAGCCTGCTTTGTACTACACACCAAATCGCAAGTGATCCAGCTGTTTTAGACCCCCCGGATGTGGAAAGCCAGGCTGAATTCAGCTAGTCCTCGATTTACAACAGTTCCATTTAGTGACCATTCGAAGGCACTGAAAAAGGGGACCCATGAGCGTTTTTCACACTTACGACCATTGCAGCATCTCGTGCAGATTCACGGGATCAAAATTGGGACTTTTAGCCACTGACTCCTATGTACGAAGGTCGCAGAGTCCCGGGGTCATGTGATTCCCTTTTGAGACCGTATGACAAGCAAAGTTCAATGGAGAAAACCAGATTCACTTAACAACTTAACCGCCGCAGCTTAACAGCTTAACTGCCGCAGTGATTCACTTAACAACTGTGGCAAAGAAAGGTCGTAAAATGGGACAAAACCCATTTAACTGTCTTAGCAATGAAAATTTTGGGTTGAGAGCGGTATTCCCAAGATCACTAACAGACTTTTTTCCTTGCACATGGAAAAGAAGGAAATGCAATTACAGTTAGTCCTCAACTTATGACTAATTTCTTAGTGATCATTCAAAGATACAACAGACCTATCTTGGGGATATTTACCACCCAGGTTCAAAGTTACCATTTTGCTGAAAATTGGCAGTTAACGTCCAGATTTCATCAAAACTGCCCAAAGTGAACAACTGTTCCGCTTAACGACTGCAGTGTTTGCTTATTAACAACTGCAGCAGCCATTTTATGATGGTGGCATTTGCTTATCAAAGGCCGCAAATAAGGTCACTTAATCAGCCCGGTCACATGACATCTGTTTTGCAATAGTCACAACTTACGATCATTTCAATACAGTCGTAAGTTGAGGACTATCTGTATTCTGGACCGGTGGCCCAGGGTTAAGCTAATGTGGAGCAATGGCAGTTTAGAAGAAGTGGGAGAAGAAGAGGGGCTGGACTAGAAGACCTCCAAGGTCCCTTCCAACGCATGTCATTCTGTATTTTGTATTCTGTGATCAAAAATGGACCTCAGGATCAATCGTGGTCTGTTCTGAGGATTATCAAAGTCTCTTGATTCCAAAACTGGCTTATTTTGAGACTACAAAAAAGACTCTTTGGCCCCGCAGGGATAAATGAGATTCTCGGTTATGTGATCCCAAAACAGGAGATAGATTTCTCTCTTAGAAAAGTGGGAAAACTTCACCCAAAGTGGAATTTTAAAGCCTCTTTATACTGTTTTCAATTCCTATTTTTCTCTCCCCTGGACGTCAAAACACAGAAAGGGTCAGGCAGAATAACCGGAGGAGATCTTTTCTCCTTTAATAGAAAGTGTCGAAGAAGGATTTCACGGAAGAAGCCCAGCTAAAAAGGAATGTATGAGTACGTGGATGGATTTACGGATTTTTTTCTCAAACGCAGCACAATAAGCACAGTGAATCACATTGAGGAATGACTGCAAAGCTCAAGTAGGTCTCCACCGTCGGGAAATTTCATGTTTTTTTCGATTCTTGCACTTTCTCGATCTCCTACGAGAAAAAGGGAGAAATTTTAGCTTCTGCAATTCACAGGAAGATCAAGATCCAAAATACAATACGGCAGAATTTAATTGAAATTTTATCAACGTATGTCGCTCAAACCTGTTATCGGTGGGGATGGGAAGATGCCCCTTGTTGCAATAGGCAAACTACAGGGAGAGTCCTTGACTTACAACGCTTCATTTAGTGACTGTTCAAAGTTACAACAGCACTGAAAAAAGGGACTTACAACCGTTTTCACACATACGACTCTTGCAGCATCCCTGTGGTCATGTGATCAAAATTCGGGCGCTATTTATGATGGTCGCAGCGTCCCGGGGGGGGGGCGGTCATGTGATCCCCTTTTGTGACTTTCTGACAAGCAAAGTCGATAGGGGAAGCCGGATTCGCTTAACAACGGTGTCATAGCTTAAAAACTACAGTGTTTCACTAACAACTGCAGCAAGAAAGATTGTAAAATGGGCAAAATTCACTTAACACAACTCTCTCATTTAGAAATTTTGGGCCCCACTGTGATCATAAGTCAAGGACTACCTGCATTAAACAAATTGTGCAAAACTGCAAAACTAAAAAACAAAAAATCCAGAGGCAACCACCTGGATTGGACATACAGTTATGAGGCCAAGGCTGCACCCCTGTAGAAATTTTGTATAACGTGGATTGTGTGTGTTTGTCTGTTCGTTTCTCTTTTGTCATGTTCTTACATTTGCTAAATTAACAATATCGTGCAACTAAAACCCAGCCCAGTGTGAGACAGGTCTTCCCATCCCAAACATGTCCTGTTTCCCTCTAAGCAGCCGTTTCTCCGGAAATTGCCAAGAAATGCAAGGTGGTTTAACACAAAGTTGCTTGCGGCTTCAACGTGTGAAGGGTGCTTCCGACGGAGTCCAAACCACTCACCTCGGCCAGAATGTTTTTCAGTTTCATATAAGCTTCCTCCAAATCATCATTGATGATGATCATGTCGAAAAGGCCCGCCTCCTTACCTAGCATGAAACAGAGATTAGGTTTCAGACGTGCCCACAGCCCAGGTCTGTACTTTGCAAAGGAAAACAATCATGAAAGTAGCAGGGGCTTGGATTAGATGACCTCCAAGGTCCCTTCCAACTTTTTATTATTATTATTATTATTATTATTATTATTATTATTATTATTATTATTATTATTATTATATTATTATTATTATTATTATTATTATTATTATTATTATTTACAGATCTTCATAACGGCAAATATTGAATGGCACAAAGGACAATTTCCTCATGATTTTACAGCCCTGCGAGGTAGGCTGGACTAAAAAAGACTACAGGTAGTCCTCGACTTATGACAATGGAGGCAAAGAAATTTGGTTGCTAAGCGAGACGGTTTTGCCCCATTTTAACGACCTTTCTTGCCAGTTGTTAATATGAATCCCTGCGGTTGTTAAATTAGCCACACGGTCATTAAGCGAATCTGGGCTTCCCCGTTGACTTAGCTTGTCAGAAGGTCGCAAAAGGGGATCACGTGACCCCGGGACTCTGCGACCGCCGCAAATATGAGTCAGTTGCCAAATGTCTGAATTTGGACCCACAGGGATGTTGCTACGAAGTGTGAAAATTGGTCATAAATCAGTGCCGTTGTAACTTCAAATGGTCACTAAATGAATTGTTGTAAGTCGAGGACTACCTGTACTGGGTCTTTTGATTGGCAGGGTTTGTAAAACCCAGATAAGCAAGGATTAACACCAGACAAACTTCATGCTGAGTTGATCCATCCTAGACTGGATTCTCCCTCCCTCCCTTCCATTCTGGAAAATCATCTCTGTTGGTGCTTGGGCCGGGCGCCCTTCCTCCATCGTGGGGAGCAGGAGAGGAACCCCCAAACTCTGCACATTGACTCACTGAGTTCCATGTCAGTGGCAGCCGCTTGCAGCCGCTTCTGTAAACTTTCCTCCGTCTCGGTCTGTCTCTCCCTTAACCGTTTCTCCTGTGGGAAAACAGAGAGTAAAAACCGCGTTTCACCTTTCTGGGGAAGATCTCACTGGCTTTGATAGAAGGGGGCATTTGAAGCCCAGAGTTGGGAACTGTGAGGGTCCCTGGTAGTCATTGTAGTGGGTGACCAGGGACTTCACACAAAGCCCTCTTTTGATGCCACCAAGAAGTTGGTGAACACCGTTCCTTGTCACAGAAGCTAAGCCGGGAGGGTTGGACTAGATGACCTTTGGGGGGTCCCTTCCCAGTGTGCAATTCAGTGGTTCCGACAGAAGAGAATCTCTGTGGCTCTGGTTGAATTGTGGAGTCCTTGGTGCTCTCTGAGCTGGGTGGTTTCCTTGCAGATGTTTCATGACCCAACTAGGGAACATCATCAGTGCTAAAGGAAGTGGGGTTTGTGGAGAGGAGGAGGAGAAGGAGGAGGAGGAGAACTGTGGGGTCTTTGGTGCTCTCTGAGCTGGGTGGTTTCCTTGCAGACATTTCATGACCCAACTAGGTAACATCATCAATGCTAAAGGAAGTGGGGTTTGTGGAGAGGAGGAAGAGGAGGACAACGACAACGACTATGGGATCCTTGGTGTTCTCTGAGCTTGGTAGTTTCCTTGCAGACATTTCATGACCCAGCTAGGGAACATCATCAGTGCTAGAAGGGAGGGAGATTGTGGAGAGGAAGAGAAGGAGAACTGTGGGGTCCTTGGTGCTCTCTGAGCTGGGTGGTTTCCTTGCAGACATTTCATGATCCAGCTAGGTACCAGCATCAGTGGTAGAAGAAAGTAAACAGTCTAATCAAGAAACACCAACAGTACCCCCAATAATAATTAAAGGGCAAACCACCCTATATAAACAGAGAGCACTTCTAGCACTGAAGACGTTCCCTAGTTGGGAATGTCTGCAAGAAAACTGCCCGGCTCAGAGACCACCAAGAAGCCACAGTCATCATCGTCTTCTCCTTCCTCCACTCCACAAACCCCACCCCCCATAGCAGTGATGATGTTACCTAGGTCCCAAAACACTTGCAAGAAAACGACCAAAAAGAGAAACCCAGATAAGCATGGATTCACACCAGACAAACGCTCAAGCAGAAAACAGTGCCCTCTTCAAGGAACTACGAAGAAGAAAACCTCACCGTCACCGCAAGGGAATGCTACCGTCAATATCTTTATGTGTCTGTTGACGTCTGATTTGTCTCGAGTGCGTAACCTTCCCAGGAATTTCCTAAAGTTTTTTGGATTTAGCTTGGCCTAGGACAGGGGTAGGCAACCTGGGCTCTTTTATGACTCGTGGACTTCAACTCCCAGAATTCCTGAGTCAGCTATGCTGACTCAGGAATTCTGGGAGTTGAAGTCCACGAGTCATAAAAGAGCCCAGGTTGCTTACCCCTGGTCTAGGATGCTTGGAGGGTGTATTCATGAGACACAGGAATACTGAACACCCCGTTCTACCTATGTGTTGGAGAAGAACGTAGGACGGGAAAGTTCTCCAGAGTACTTCTGAGTGGTCACCATAAAAGGCCTTCTAATGTTGGCTTACCAAGGCCTCATCCAACAGAAGAACCATTTTTGTGATATCCAGATACGGATACGAGTTGCTACTATTGCTAATTTTGCATAAACCGGCAGCCTGGTACATTAACTATAACCATAACTGCAAACAGTAGTAACTTCTCACCAGGATCTCTATGGAGGGGACTTGAACAGAGATGTAGATGGGATTCAGGTCTGTCTTCTTGATGTTCCTCACGCCTTGAAGGTCAATATCAAGGATGCAGATCTGATTCTGAGCTTGGACAGCCTGGATGGCAGCTTTGCTGGCCGGGAGAAGGAAGAGAAGTGGTTATGGTTCTTTTTTTAAAAAAATGAGTTTATAAAATGCCTCTGAAAAAATGAGTGCAAAGATTTTACATTTCTATTGAGGTATCTAGCCAACAGAGGTGATGAGGAACAGTTAGGAAAATAACAAAATAACAGAGTTGGAAGGGACCTTGGGGGTCTTCTAGTCCAACCCCCTGCTCAGGCAGGAAGCCCTTCACCATTTTGGACAAATGGCTGTTCAGTCTCTTCTTAAAAACTTCCAGTGTTGGAGCATTCACCACTTCTGGAGGCAGGTTGTTCCACTGGTTAATTGTTCTAACTGTCAGGAAGTTTCTCCTTAGTTCTAGGTTGCTTCTCTCCTTGATCAGTTTCCATCTGTTGCTTCTTCTCCTGCCTTCAGGCGCTTTGGAGAATAGCTTGACTCCCTCTTCTTTGGGGCAGCCCCTGAGATACTGGAACACTACTATCATGTCGCCTCTAATCCTACATTTAATCAAACTAGACATACTCAATTCCTGTAACTGTTCTTTGTACGTTTTAGCCTCCAGTCCCCTAATCAACTTTGTTGCTCTTCTCTGCACTCTTTCCAAAGTCTCAGCATCTTTTTTACATCGTGGTGACCAAAACTGGATGCAGTATTCCAAGTGTGGCCTTACCAAGGCATTGTAAAGTGGTATTAATACTTCACGTGATCTTGATTCTATCCCTCTGTTAATGCAGCCCAGCACTGTGTTGGCTTTTTTGGCAGCTGCAGCACACGGCTGGCTCCTATTTAAGTGATTGTCCACTTGGACTCCGAGATCCCTCTCACAGTTACTACTATTGAGCACGGTACCCCCTATACCAGGGCTTTTTAACCAGTGATACGGGTACCACCTATGGTACATTGGCACCTGGCAGTTGGTACGCGACCATCCTAGAAAAATGATAGTGGGGGAGGGGAATGAGCTGAATCGGTGGAAGCACCGCACAAGCCTGAGCAAGAGATGGCTGGAACTGCAGGGCTATCAGGGCTCAGCGGAAGCGCCAGGATCAGTGCTTCTTTGGGGCTGTCAGGGCTCAGCGGAAGCACCAGGATCAGTGCCAGGCTCCAGCTGGAGCTCAGCGCTGATCCTGGTGCTTCTGCTGAGCCCAGAAGAAGCACCAATCAGCTGGAATGTTGCAGCCTCTCCAGGGTCTTGTGATTTACATTCAGATGCTTGGCAACTGATTCATATTTATGACGGTCACAGTGTCCCAGGGTCATGTGAAGTGACCAAAACCTGCTGCAACCCCCAGCAGACGGGGGGGGGGGGAATAAAAACCAAACACCCCCCACCCCACCCCCTCTGCCAATCCTCAACAGAAATGCTCACAACAATGAAAACCTCGGACAGGAGGAAGAGCGCCGCCGGGTGGGCAGGCAGGTGTCTTGCTCGGCTGTGGCTTTGGGGGCCCTTTTTTCAGTGCCATTGTAACTTCAGTCACTAAGCGAACTGTTGTAAGTCGAGGACTACCTGTACTTCATCACTTTTTTCCTTTTTTTTTTTTTGGTCATCAAGTTTTTGACACCTTGCTAGGCGACTGGTGGTACTCGGATATTGCCATATCCTAAAAGTGGCACAATGGGTGAAAAGGTTGAAAAGCCCTGCCCTATACTATATCTGTGCATTTGGTTTTTCTTGCCTAAATGTAGAACCTTACTTTTTTCACCATTGAACTTCATTTTGTTACCACCTATTCTACATCTGTGCATTTGGTACATGAGTACCTTGTATACATAAGTACCTAGTCCTCATGTTTACGAGGACAAACATCACCATTAAAAAAGCAACCAGTTCCCGATGCATTTGAAAGAGGCTACCTTGTTCCGTACATGTTGCCCGAAAATTCTGCATGTTCCACAAATTCTCCCGCATCAACCTCCTTCTGCATCTCTCCCCTGGTCACAAAGTGGTAATCTAGGGTAAGAAACAAACCAGGTTTGTTAGAGTGCATGCAGAGAGATGTTGCTGGATTCTTTAGCATTATTAGACATGAAATTGTCATTGTGTTGAGCGTCCTCTTTGAGAACAGCTCAAAGGAACAAGGAAGTTAAGAACACGGCGAAGAGAGAACGAATTCATTTTTTATGGGTTTAAATTAAATTAATCAACCCTGATTAAAAAGGGCTGCACATGGGAATCATATGTAATTTTAAAGAGTATTGCAAGATAATACATTTCTTAGTAAAGGAGATTGGAGATTGTTTCCTTATCTTTTCTTTTTTTTCTATCTGTATTACTTTTTATCATTTTCTTTTTAGTTTTTCCTTTTTTTCTTGCCTTACGATTTCATGTTGATTTTTCACTTACGTAAAACTTTCTGATAAAAATATATTAATAATACTTATTTATACTAATTAATTTGATTCAATTTTTAAAATTTGATTTTAAACAATTACATTTAATAATTAATAACAGTATTAATAGTAATACAAGAAAAATAATACTTATTAATATGTATTAAAATAATAATTAAACATAAAATAATTCAATGATTCAATTCAAAAAATATTAATAATTCAATGATTCAATTCATTTCAAAAATGATTAATTCAATGATTAAATTCAATTCAAAAAAAATATTAATAATTAAATGATTAAATTATTTTAAAAAGACAAAAGGCACCTCACAATTGGAAGGAAATGTGAGGAAATTGTATTTCATGTTCATGTTTTACTTGTGAAAATTTATAATAAAAATTAATAATTATTAATTAATAATTATTCTTAATAATTCAATTATTAATTTATTTTTTAAAATGAAGGGAGCCTCAAAATTGAGAAAAAATTGAATTTGTTATATTGCACTTTTTTATTTTTGTGAACATTCTTAATAAAATTAATAGTTACTTATTATTTACTAGTTAATAATTATTCTTAATACTTCAATTATTAAATTATTTTTTTAAAAACAAAAGAAGTCTCCGAATGGGAGACTTTTTACTTAAATGAAAGTGCCTTAATTCTTTATTGATTTATAAAATGTATTGGATCTTACCATAAAGTAACTCTGGGCAGCTTACAGATATAAAAACTATATGTACTTCAAAACCAGAATAATTAATTAAATTAATTATTTTAACATTATTTTAAAAAAATATTTTAAAGGAACCGCAAGACAATCCTCAAAATTGGAAGACCTTCTCCAGCGAAACAGCCTACCTCGCAAGGCTGTTGTAAAGAAAAGTAGGATATGAGTGTCATCTTGGACCAAAAGTCAGGATTTAAAATTTAACAAACAGGCAACTACAAGTATTCCTTGACTTACAACATTTCATTTAGTGACTGTTCAAAGTTGCAATGGCACTGAAAAATGTGACATGACCATTTTTCCAGACTTGACGACCGTCGCGGCCTCCCAGTGGTCACGTGATCAAAATTCAGACGCTTGGCAACTGACTTGTATTTATGACGGCTGCAGCCGTCACGTGATCCTCTTTTGTGACCTTCTGACAACTGTCTCCCTTAGCAACAGTAATTATGGGCTCAATTTTGGCCGTAAATCAAGGACTACCTGGGTGCGTGATTGGGAATTGTAATTTGTTGCTGGGTTCCAGATTGAGGAAAGCGACTGCAATTCACATTGTGGTTTTTGTTTTTTGTTTTTTCCTGGAAGAGATGATAAAATTCTGCTTTTTACCTTTTCCGTTGACTTCCCCAGGTCGTGGCTGCCTTGTAGTGTCTGGAAGCAGGAAAAATATAAATAATAATTTATTATTATTATTTATTATTATTATATTATCCCTAAGGCAGTGATGACAAACCTTTTAGAGACCGAGTGCCCAAACTGCAACCCAAAACCCACTTATGCATCGTTGGGTGCCGGGTGGGTGTGGCCCATTGGGTGGGCGTGGCTGCGGTGGTAACAGCAGACTGGGTGGGACTATAAAGTTCAATCAATCAATTCCAACTTTGCAAGATCTTTTTTTTCCCGCGAGAAGTTGAAATTGACTGATTGAACCTTTTTTTTTTTGCACATGGCGGCGGAGGCCTAAGGCGAAAAGGTTTTATAAAACCCAGCTGAAGGCCTAGGACTGGGGCGACGGCGCACGTGCCCACAGAGAGGGCTCTGAGTGCCGCCTCTGGCACCCATGCCATAGGTTCGCCACCATGGCCCTAAGGCTTAGAGATGTTATGAAGCAGCTGCACAAAATGCGTTGTTTTTTTTTCCTTTCTAGACCTGCGTTGACTTAATCGCATCTTCTCTTTACGTTATGCCCTGATTTAATAATTAATACTGTCCTCAACTTAGGACCATAGTTGTTAAGTGAATCATGCGGTCGTTAAGCAAATTTCCCCCGTTGACTTTGTCGGAAACCAGCTGGGAAGATCGGAAATGGCAATTGGGTGACTCCGGGTCATAAATACATGCCAGTCATGTCCAAATTTTGATCACGTGACTGTGGGGATGCTGCAAGTGTGAAAACAAGCATAAGTCACTTTTTACAGTGCCACTGTAAGCTGAAACGGTCACTAAACGAATGGCTGTAAGTCAAGGACTACCTTACTTGCCAAAGAAAAAGAGGTTAGCAAGGTAGGAGAACAGGTGCTACAGGTAATGCTTGACTTACAACTGTTCGTTTACTGACCATTAGTGGTTTATGACTAGTCCTCGCAGTTATGACCATTGCAGCATCTCTCCCACGGTCACGTGAGCACAGTTGCACAGCCCCTGGGTCACGTAAGCACCACCTGAGACCTTCACAGCTAGCTTCCAACCAAGGGGGGAACTTGGACTTGCTTAACGACCACATGATTCACTTAACAACTGCAGTGATTCGCTTAACAACCTTGGCAAAAAAGGGTGCAAAATCAAGTTCGGCTCACTTTAACAACCGCCTCACTTAGCAATCCTGGTCATAAGTCAAGGGCTACCTGTACTAGTATCAACAGCAAGGGAGAAAGATGAACTACTACAGGCATAACTGGAGTGAGCTAAATTCACAATGTCTTTAATTCATTCATAATTTGGAGATTCACAGTTCTCGCCATGTATGTACATGTGTTTGTGTATATACACACATATACATACATACGCATGGGGGCGCGCGCACACACACACACAAACTAGATTGTGTTGTTTCTCTGGATCATATATGAGTGTGTACATGGGTATATGCATACTATTTTTTTTGTCACGTTTATGCAGTGTATATTGGAGGTGGTTGCCCTTTGAGAGTTTTATATGCGACAAAATCTCAATTTAATGTATGCTGATTAATGTACATTTAAAGTGACAATAAAGTTATTATTCTATTCTATTCTACAATCATTCTATTCTGTTCTGTTCTATTCTACAATCTATCTATTCTATTCTATTCTACAATCATTCTATTCTATTCTATTCTATTTTACAATCATTCTATTTATTCTATTCTGTTCTATTTTACAATCTTATCTATTCTATTCTATTCTACAATAATTCTATTTCTTCTATTCTGTTCTGTTCTGCTCTGCTTCTATTCTATTCTATTCTATTCTATTCTATTCTATTCTATTCTATTCTATTCTCTAACTATCCTATCCTATGCTATCCCATCCCATTCTGTTCTCCTAATACCAGAGCTAACTAAAAGCATTGGGTTCATACAACTCAATAAGCCCTACACAGAGAAGTAACTGAAGTTAGGAGGAGCCAAGCTGAGTGAGAAAGTGTGAAAGTAGCTGCCTGCATTTTAACTGGAAGGGTTACGTGTGTCTGGCAGGCTCAGCCAGGCAGCCAGCACCTATGCACGCTTTCCTTTGAACACCATCCCTGCAGAAAAGGGCTCACTCACGGGAGACGCTGAAGCCGAAGACGTTGTCATAATCTCTGAGAAGTTTCTTCAATAAAGTGCTTTTTCCCGCGCCCGATGGGCCGCTCAGTACAACTGGCCTTGGTCCTTTCATAACTGGAGAAAGACGAGAGAGAAAAGTGGTGGGCTGTTAAAAATCTAGGAAAAGAGAGCCAGTTGGTCAAGGCACTAGAAAGCGGGAGATGGCGAGTTCTAGTCCTGATTTAGGCCTGGAAGTTGGCTGGGTGACTTTGGGCCAATCACCAGAAGACAAGGAATTCTAGTCCCGTTTTAGGCATGAAAGTGGCTGAATTCTCTTGGGCTAATCACCAGGAGGCTGTGAGTTCTAGTTCCTTAGGCAGGAAAGCCTCTGGGTGACTTTGGGCCAATCATCAGGAGATGGTGAATTCTAGTCCCGCCTTAGCCATGAAAGCCAGATGGATTACTTTAGGCCAATCGCAAGGCAATAGGGAGTTCTAGTCCCGCCTTAGGCATGAAAGCTGGCTGGGAGACTTTGGGCCAATCACCAGGAGACGGTGAGTTCTAGTCCCGCCTTAGGCATGAAAGCTGGCTGGGTGACTTTGGGCGGGTCCCTTTCTCAGCCCCACCCACCTCACAGGATTGTTGTGGTGGTGAAAATAGGAGGATGAAGGTATGTTGGTTATGTTCACTGCCTTATTTGGAAACAAATAAAAGGATATAAATAAATAAATACAATTTTAAAAAGTTAAAATAAGGCGGATTGAGAACAGGCGGCACCTGGAGAGTTGAAGTGGAGCGGAGCAGCGATGTTCTATGGGGCTCCATGCCAAGCAAGACAGTAAATCTATTAACAACATGCCGCCTGATTTACTAGGCCAGGGCTTTTCAACCTTTTCACCCATTGTACCACTTTTAGGATATGCAACATCCGAGAATCACCAGTCGCCTAGCAAGGTGTCAAAAACTTGGCCAAAAAAAAGGAAAAAAGTGATAAAGTACAGGTAGTCTTCGACTTACAACAGTTTGCTTAGTGACTGTTCGAAGTTACAATGGCACTGAAAAAAGTGCCCCCCCCAAGCCACAGCTGAGCAAGACACCTGCCTGCCCACCCGGCGGCACTCTTCCTCCTGTCCGAGGTTTCCATTGTTGTGAGCATTTCAGTTGAGGATTGGCAGTGGGGGTGGGGTGGGGGGTGTTTGGTTTTTATTCACACACACACCCGTCTGCTGAGTGGTTGCAGCAAGTTTTGGTCACTTCACATGACCCTGGGACACTGTGACCGTCATAAATATGAAATCAGTTGCCAAGCATCGGAATGTAAATCACCAGACCCTGGAGAGGCTGCAACATTCCCCTCCCCGGCTACCACTTTTCTAGGATGGTCGCGTACCACCTGCCAGGTGCCAATGTACCACAGGTGGTACCCGTACCACTGGTTGAAAAGCCCTGTACTAGGCAACCCTGGCCTCTGTTCCTTTGCTGAAAACAATCCGCTTTGGCTATTGCATTACATATGTGCGGATTCTGCCCATGAAATTCTGACCTTCGGGCTGGAGGATGACCTTGACACGGCTCTCAGAATCCTGGGACTGATTTTGGACTATTTTTCTGCACACTTCTATTTAAAAGGCTAACCCAGTGGTGGCGAACCTATGGCACGGGTGCCAGAGGCGGCACTCAGAGCCCTCTCTGTGGGCACGCGCGCCGTCGCCCCAGTCCTAGGCCTTCAGCTGGGTTTCATAAAGCCTTTTCGCTTTAGGCCTCCGCCGCCGTGTACAAAAAAAAAAGGTTCAATCAATCAGTCAATTTCAACTTCTCGCGGGAAAAAAAAAGATCTTGCAAAGTTGGAATTGATTGATTGAACTTTTTAGTCCCACCCAGTCTGCCGTTACCACCGCAGCCACGCCCACCCAATGGGCCACGCCCACCCAATGGGCCACACCCACCCGGCACCCGACGATACATAAGTGGGTTTTGGGTTGCAGTTTGGGCACTCGGTCTCTAAAAGGTTCGCCATCACTGGGCTAACCGTTCAGGCAAGCGACTGTCAGAGACTCTGCTTTGGTCTGCATGCATCGGCTGTTGCTATCTCTGTGATCTTAAGCAAACTGTGAACTACCGCAGCAATTGTGCGCGAGTCAGTATTTGAAGCGAGTCAGTATTTGAAGCACGAAGCAGGACACATCCTTATGCAAAGGAATGAAGAGGTGACCTTGGAAACGGGGTGGGGAAATACCAGAGAAAGGCAGTCGTCAGAAGCAAACGCAAAATTACACCACCTTGATTCTGCAGAGAGAAATGTTTTTAAGAACATCTGACGCAGGAGAGCAACGTGTGTCCACTTTTGAGGACCTCGTGAAATTAACATTATATTCTTCTGCATTTTAGATGGGAAACACGTAAAAATGACGTGGAAATTTTAAACTCCATGGCATCGGACCTGGTTACCTTCGAGACCGCCTCCTGCCACAGACTACCCCCCACCGACCTGTACGCTCTCACAGAGTGGGTCTCCTCAGGGTGCCGTCGGCCAGACAGTGCCGGCTGGCGACCCCAAGGGGGAGGGCCTTCTCTGTGGGAGCTCCCACCCTCTGGAACGAACTGCCCCCAGAGATCAGGGTGATCCCTGATCTCCCTTCCTTCCGCCGCGCCCTCAAGNTTGCGGGACTGGCCTAAGGGATTTTAAAGGGGTTTTAATTACTTTTAATCTGACAAATTTAAATATTTCTTTTTAATCAAATTTTAATTAGGTGTATAATATGTTAGTATTTTATCCAATTGTCAGCCGCCCTGAGTCCGCAAGGAGAAGGGCGGGATATAAATGTAATTAATAAATAAAATAAATAAATAAATAAATAAATAAATAAACAAACAAACAAACAGGCATATCACCCATAACGGATAGCAGAAAAGGAACTCCCAATCTTCCAAATAATTGTGATCTTCTCCTCACGAAGAGTGTGGTCCTTCAACAGCTTAAGTATAAGATTTCTATCATCCCATGTCACCTACAGATAGTCCTTGACTTATAACCATTTGTTTAGCGACTGAAGTTACAACAGCACTGAAAAAATTTATGACCGTTTTTGATGACCGTTGCAGCCTCCCCATCCGTAGTCACGTGATCAAAATTCAGACGCTTGGCAACTGATTCATATTTACGACGGTCGCAGTATCCCGGGCTCAGGTGATCTTGTTTTGTGACCTTCTGACAAACAAAGTCAATGGGGAAGCCGGATTAACTCAACAACTTACTAACTTAACATCTAAAGTGATTCACTCAGCTGTGGCAAGAAAAGTCCTAAAATGAGGCAAAACTCAGTTAACAACTGTCTTGCTTAACAGGGGAAATTTGGGTTCAATTGTGGTCATAATTCGAGGACTACCTGTATTTGTTGCTCTCGGAGAGCCCAACAGTAGAGAAGCAGAAGCAATAATATATTTTTTGCTAAAATAGTTAAGGACGAGGGGGGACAGGATAGCAGTCTTCCAATATCTCAGGGGCTGCCCCAAAGAAGAGGGAGTCAAGCTATTCTCCAAAGCCCCTGAAGGCAGGACAAGAAGCAACGGATAGAAACAAAACAAATCGAGGAGAGAAGCAACCTAGAACTAAGGAGAAACTTCCTGACAGTGAGAACAATTAACCAGTGGAACAAGCTGCCTCCAGAAGCGGTGAATGCTCCAACACTGGACGTTTTTAAGAAGAGACTGGATAGCCATTTGTCCGAAATGGTATAGGGTTTCCTGCCTGAGCAGGGGGTTGGACTAGATGACCTCTAAGGTCCCTTCCTACCCTGTTATTCTCTAAACTCCCAGCCCCTTGGCTATCTGGCGTTGCTCCATTTATATAACTGCCCAGATTTTTGATGTTTATTTCATCTGAGCTTTCTACCGCCAGAAGAGATGAATAATGTCTCATGCAATTAGCACATTAATGCCTAGTTCTTACTTCCTGCTGCCCAGCCCACAATAAAAACTAGCACGCTCCTCCGGGAACGCACAGCAACGGTTTTTGAAAATAAAAATAGAAGAGGGTTGCAATTAAGCCGAAGGGGAAAAAAATATATCAAGAGTTGCGTTCAGCACCGATGGCTGCTTTCTTGCGGTTCTGCCCAGCTTACCTTTCGCCCTGCTATTCGGAGGGACCGCTTAAAATTCGGTACTGTAACGAAATCCTGTTTTTTCTTACGTTTCCAAAACAGGAAATGGATGGATCTGGATTGTGCTGGTGGAGAAGGCAGCGTAGAGGGAATAACAGTCTGTTTCTGAGTGCTTAAAGCCTTAATTATCCGGTTTTCACCTTGGGATGGTCTCAATCCCTAATCATCTTCTGTGGTTTTCTGCAGATACTTTGGCTCCTGCTATTAATGGCTTAAAGACTCTGGGAGCTTAGCTTTGAAGGACGTAAACTCTGCCCTCGGATAGAGTGCATTTTAAGAAATGACGAAGCTGTCTTTGTCAGCATCGTTCAATTAATATATCCATCATTTATTTAACATATCCATCCAGACCAGCAACAACTACCTGATCTTGAATGATCACAAAAAAAGCCTACCGCTCTTAATTTAATGGAATTTTAAAAAAAAATGTTTCCATAAGTGGTGATTGTGAAGTACAGGTGGTCCTTGACTTATTACCATAACTGACTCCAAAATTTCAGTTACTAAGCCAGACAAAGCAAGTTTTGCTCCATTTTATGACCTTTCCTGCCACGGTTATTAAGTGAATCACTGCAGTTGTTAAGTTAGGGACATGGTTGCTACGTAAATCTGGCTTCCCCGTTGACTTTGCTTGACAGAAGGGGATCACGTGACTCCAGGATACGGCGACCGTCGTAAATATGAGTCAGTTGCCAAGGGTCCGAATTTGTGACTATGGAGATGCTGCAATAGTCGTTAGGTGTGGAAAATGGTCATAAGTCACCTTTTTCAGGGCTGTTGTAACTTTGAACGGTCACTAGATGAATTATTGTATTTTGTTGTCAAAATAATTGCCTTCCTGGAGATCACCAAATGATCACAAATCAACAAAAACTTTTTTATGTTTCAAAGTCTTCAATCCCAACTCTGGGAAGGGTAGCTAAATCAGGTGTGTGAGACACTCGTGGATCAGCTGTAGTCACTAAGAGTTGGTAT